GTCGGTGTGCGCCCGGGATCTGAACCCAGGCTGCCAGCAGCCGAGTGCGCGCACTTAACCGCTAAGCCACGGGGCCGGCCCACATTAAGTTATTTATCATAACGCTATTTATAACGGCAATGATTAGTACAACTTAAAACCTAAAGATGACACCACACAGGGAGGAAGTTAGGGGATGATGGGCTGTTCTACAGCTTCCCTGTGGCGGCCACGTGTCTGCTGAGACCCCGTACAGCAAGAGGGTCAATTTATCTGTATGGAAAATATACCTTAATAAACCTGACTCCAAAACAAAGTTAATAGATGAAACATTACATGGCACTTTATGGGCCGGCCCAGTGGCTTAGCGGTTAAGTGCGCGCGCTCCGCTGCTGGCGGCCCGGGATTCGGATCCCGGGAGTGCACCGACGCACCGCTTCTCCAGCCATGCTGAGGCGGCGTCCCACATACAGCAACTAGAAGGATGTGCAACTATGACATACAACTATCTACTGGGGCTTTGGGGGGAAAAAAAAAAGGAGGAGGATGGGCAATAGATGTTAGCTCAGAGCTGGTCTTCCTCAGCAAAAAGAGGAGGATTAGCACGGATGTTAGCTCAGGGCTGATCTTCCTCACACACACACACAAAAAAACATTACGTGGCACTTTAAAAAGACAAGGGGGTAGTCTGTGTAGCAGCCTGACAACACAGAACGGGCTTTGCTTCTGAGCAGAAAAGACCCTGAGCCTGGTTAGCACCCACGTGTGGAAAAGAGCAGGGAGGAAGTGACACAGCAAAGAGAAGGAAGGTTCCGGTGGGAGGCCCATGGGTAATTTCTTCCTTGTCTCTAACTTCTAAGTGTTCAACAATGTTGTCACGCTGTTGTAGAATTTTGAAATTACGGTTTTCCATTAAGAACAGCATCTCGGCCTTTCTGGGGCTACTAGAGCAGGACCAGGACAGCAGTGAGGTGTCACAGCCAACAACACCTGGACAGCAGGAGCAGAGACAGAAGAACCCCACATCGGCCAAGATAATTCCACTGTGGGGAAACAAACAAGAAATTGGTGCAAAAGAAGAAAAAGGAAGAGAGAGATTTGCTGCAGTTCTGTTATATAACAGCAAAATTGGAAAGCACCCCTCTGCCCGACATTCAGGAACGGCTAAGAAACTTCGGGGCCATCGGGGGACTGCACACCGCACAGCCACTCAAACCGTGCTGCCCAGCCTCCCCTGGTCACACGTTTCTGGAGGACACATTTCTAGAAGTGAAGTTGCCGCCTGGGATGCCCACCAACACGGGACTCACATAGAGGATGGTGCGTCTGGGCAGTGGGACATGACACAGCTGCTGGTGAGACTGGGCACCTTTATACCAATGGACATGGAAAGCTCTGGTAAGGGAGAAAGGTCACAAGCAAAATGTACATTGCTCTCCGTTTTTGTTGAAGATGTTCTTAATGATGACTGTGGCCACAGCACTGCTGCGTGTCAGTGCAGCACAGGGAAGATTCAAACGCCTGTGAACCACCGGCCCCCTCACTGTCGGCACGTTACATGTTCTGTGTTTCTATAACAGCTGAATCGATCGTCATGAACACGCATTGCTTTTGTAATCAGAAAAGAATCGAGGGCCAGCCCCGTGGCTTAGTGGTTAAGCGCACGCACTCCGCTACTGGCAGCCCGGGTTCGGATCCCGGGCGCGCACTGACGCACTGCTTCTCCGACCATGCTGAGGCCGCGTCCCACATACAGCAACTAGAAGGATGTGCAGCTATGACATACAACTATCTACTGGGGCTTTG